CTGGGCCGGGTGTGGACCAGGGGTTCTGGTAGTGTCTGCTTAGCCCAAGGCTAGAGGCATGGAATGCTCTAGGCCATTTACGTCCAGAAGGAGCACGCGTGGGCAAGACCATCTTGGATATCTCGACGATCACGCAGTCGAGCGACGCTCCGACGAGCTTTGACACATCGAGCACGTCGATTTCGTCAACACCTGCGAAAAGGAGACTAGACGTGAGCCCATTTTTTATTGTGATTATCCTCATTTACCCCTGAATATGCGTAGCTTGATTGACGTATATTAATTGTTTCTTGGAATTTGCTTTTTTTTTTTTGTGCAGCAATTGTGAAAATTTGGTGGATTCTATTAAAGCAAAATGTGAGGGATTTGGATCAACGGAAAATATGCTCACTGGGCTTATAGAGTTAAACCTTTGGGTTGATTATTCTACCCTTACAGATTGTGAAAACGGGTGATGACTCATGAGCGTGAGAACAATGAGGTGTGAGAGAGATAAAGGATGTTAATTGGTGATTTTTTCTTTGATTTGTGTGGGTTTGCGTTGTGTTGTGTGTGTATGTGCTTTCATTCGCATTTTCATTGCATTAATAGCACATGAATGCGGGGTTTCAAAAATTAGGATCAAACCATCATTTCCGAGAAGGTTCTTTGCTGACTCAGTGAGTGTGTTCATTTGAACTGGATTTGATGGAATTGACCTTTTTTTTGGATCAAGCATATTATGTTGTTTCATGTGGCAGTTGGAGACTTCAAAAGCTAGGCTATTGACTTCCCCCCCATGCTAGGCAGGGGATGCGGTAGCCTAGTGTATGGGTCAATCAACTATCACGCATTTTCATCATATTACACATTCACATGATTGGTATAGTATATTCTAAGTATAAACTACGCATGCCACTACAGCATATGCATCATATTTATGCATTTCCATTCCATGTTTGGCTCACTATATCCATCATTATGCATGCATTTCCAACTTCATTTATACACGGGGGAATACTTCTGCGCATACATTACAGAATAAACAGCCGTTTGTTTACCATAACATCATTTTTTCACTCCATTCATCCCTATGAAAAGCCAAGGCAAGCAAAGAAATTGAAACAGATATAGTACCACACATTGTCGTAAGCTGTCAAGGCAAATGAGTGGCAATCATTTAGGCTACCGTTCACTAGATTTTCTTCTTTTTTTTTTTCAAGTATAGATGATGAAAGAATAAATTGTATGTAACAAGGTTGCTTCATAACAAAAAAAAAAGAGGTTATTTGGGTGAACGATGGTGCGCGATATTGTCGGGGAGTGGGAAAACACAGAAAATATGGGAGCAGCTGAAGTTTCGGAGTTACCTGGCGACGACGAGCGATGGGTGGCACATCTGCAAAGCGCCGGTGGGAGAAACGGGGTATTTTTTTAAGCACCATCGGCGGGAGCAGTTTCAACGACGGGGTCAACGGCGTTAATGACACTAGGATCCTTGAAAGCCGGTCTCGGAATAACCCAGGTGCAGTCCTCAGTTCCAGATTATGCCCTCAGATGGGTTCTGGTGAACTGGCGGACACAGCTAGTGACCGAGTGGGCGGCTATAGTACGTCCGAGATTTTCAGAGGAGAACCGCACCTGCAACTACGGAATTACGATAATAATTTTGCCCGACGTTTACGGAGTTTTCAATGGGGACTTACCAGTTTATGGCAGGAAGCGTCGACAATTTCGTGGGAATATTTCGGCGTCTGATTAAAAGCGTGTGACAACGACGTGAAGCAACAATGCGAGAATTACACGGAGTTACAAGGGGTGCGAACGACTTACAACGAACTGGAGGAGGCAGCAGCAACAGTGCAAAGGGGTGAGAGACAGCTGTAATTTTCCATTTCTGCCCAAGAATCATCGGCGAATTACAACAAACTTCTCGGCGAGTCTGGACAAAACCGCCGGAGGTGTTGACATCATCTGACACTGGATTGTCGTTCGACAATATTTTCGGAGTGACATTCGATTTGGTTACTGCTTCGATGATGATCGGCGACTCTCGATAATCAAATTCGCTGCCAATCGCCTTCGATTGCTGATTCAACGACATTCGTAACTCTCCCGATTTTACGGCTAGAGAATTTCGTGATATACCGCTCCGGCTCTACCAGCAAAAAACCGCCCCACTCGACCCGCCCACGACAAACAACTTTACATTTGCCACGTCTGTCAGCTGCAACCGCTGAAGATATCATTTGATTTGGCAATGTGAAGACAAAAGAGTTCAGTGCGAGTAGTTGAAATATTGCGACGCGGTTTCTGGGCTACGACTTCGGGTTTTCCTTCAAGATTGTATGGGCACGTAACGCCTGGTTTCGTCATTGAATTTCCATACCGACACAAATTCGCTTGGACTTCTTCGGTCAACGCTCGTCTCAGTGTCACTTAACACCTGGTTTGTTGGTTTTGATCTCTTGCGGGGAATTTTGGGTGCGTTTTCTTGGAGTGTGGGAGAAAGTGCGCTGCACTGTTTTTTCCTTAGCATTTTTTTACTTCGTCAGAATGCAACAGCACGGCAGACGGCCACGATTGCGACATTGAAATCAACGTCTCTGAGCAGCTGCGATTAATTTTTGCGTCAGACTGCTCCCTCCAAAAACGCGTCAGCCTTCCACTGTCAGATCTACACCTGCTCGATTTACGACCCACATTCCAACCTTCAAAGTCATTTGGGCCAGTTCATCTGCAGCCGTCATATCGAAATCAGACTCCATCAACGGCCTACATTCCAACCTTTTCTTCGAATTTGCCAAAGACATTTCAGCCGTCCGATTCGCATGGCTGAAGATCGACTCTTTCTTCATTTTTTAGGGACTCTTCTACTTATGAAAGGGTCATGTTTGGAAGGTGGGAGAATGTAAGGAATTACAGTTACTTACTACTCTCGCACTTTAGCGAGTACATCCCGAGGGTCACGCGACGAACCTGTTCGGCCTATTTCGTCGCACCGAACCACTCCCGAGTCGCCTCAGCACCATTCGCAAACACGACCGAGCCATCTTCGCCCTATCTCTTCGCCTAGCTAGCTTTCCCCCCATTTAGTCGTGCCCAGGCCCTCAGATTCGTTTTGGCGTAGGCTGACTGGGCAACCTTAGGAATGAGTGCATGGCTGATCGGTCAGTGGAGGTGTTATAGAAAAAACTGTTTTTCCAGAGTGCATAGGAAAAAAAATGCTGAACGATCAGCGTCGTTTTGCAGAAATGTCTGAACGACTCATAGCAAACAAGACACACAATTTTTGATTTTGTTCTCATATAGCAAATGTTTACGAATCATCATCATCTTCATCATCCTCCTCCTCATCATCCTCACTATCACTAGAGCCTACTGCTTCTACAGCATGGGGTTCATCTACTTCCATAGCGGTCGATGGCGACGCTATCCGCGTCGTCTAAATCGGCGTCACCCTCGTCGTCTGAAAGGCCGGCGCCATGGCCAGCCATGGCGGAACAGCTACGAGAGCGAGCCGAGCACTGAGAGAGCGTGCCGAGCACTGAGAGAGCGGGGCGAGAATTGCCTGGTGCTAGAGGGGAAAGAAGTGAAAACCTAGCGAGGATGGGTGAGAGACGTGGGACTCCAGCAGCTACCTGGGGTTATGCAAGGAGGAGCTAGAGATGGTGAAGCGGGATTGGTTGGCAAGGCAAGCTTACCGTGTTCTGATGCAACGCGATTCGACCCATGGAATCATGCACGTACCTGGTTGCAGCTTCGGAGTTGGTGAGGTGGGGGGGTTTCCTAGTCGCGCGGCAACCAGTTTGTGGTGCTGTACTGCTGTAACGTGCGTGCGTGGTGTTGCGCTGTTGACATTCCATTCGCCACTGGTTGATGAGGTTGCACTGACATCCAATCACGTGCGAAGATACCTTTGCGGCGTGACAGCAGTGGTTTGATGGTTCGGGAATGATGCCATTCCCGAATGCGTTGGCAAGGAATCTTGCCATTTCGGCGTGATTGACGGAGAGACGGTCGAACAACTGTATCTAGACACCCCGAATTCAGGGCCTAAACCAGAATCTCCATTACAGGGATTTCAGCCCAGCCCTTCGATACAAGTCTGATGAGACAGCGCACGCGATTGGAAAAATGCTGATATTTCAGCACAGACAACTTTATAAAACCTGAAATTACAGCATACACACACAAAAAAAAGCTGCCACAACAGCCCAACGTCTACCTATACGGCTGAAATCACAGGCTTTTTACCCCTAATCAGCCTTTTTTCGCTGACTTCTGAGGGCCTGGTCGTGCCATTCTTATTGTATCGTCATTCGGTAGTTCAAATTCTCGATATTCATTTATCTGCGCAATATGCAAGTTAATTCATAACAAGGGTGTGCGCTTGTAATTGGGTAACCATTTTTCAAGTTCCCAAGGATTTTGAAACTCTACTTTCAAATGTATACTTGTGAAATCGTTTTTCGTCACAATTTTTCTTGCTTTCTAAGATCATGCATCTCCAAGGTGTTCTTAGTTTATTTAGTGGAGGTGATGATTTATAATGACTCTTTTGAAAGTAGCTTGATCACTTTGGTAAAATAGTTTATATCTAGAGCATTTAGTTATACAGACAAAACCAGTTCTTACGAGTTTTTAGGGCGTTGGAAAGGAACAACCTGGGAGCAAGCAAAAAAAAAACCCACACTCAACGCTGTACACCGAGCTATAACGTTCTCCAAGACGATGATAACTATCTCTGCCGTGTTCAACCTCTCTTAAAGTCCAGACTCTGGCACTGCTTGCTCGGGGCACCCATCCATGCAAGCTACGCTGCTCATAGCTTGTGGGAACGTGACTGGGAGCTGCCTTGCCAGCAAGCAGCTGCTGAGAAAGTCTGGAAAGTCGTTTTTCCACCCGAAAATTTGTCAGGAACCTCAAAAGTTCCTACCGTTGCGCACCGTACTAGTAGTAGTAGGAGCATCCGCAGCGGCAGCAGCTACTGAGCGTGCCTCGACAGGCGATTCGCGAGAATGAAGCCCAAGGCGCGGCTCCTGGGCCGCAGCGGCAGCAAGAAACGCCTGGTCGTGCCGCCGTCGCCGTCGCCGTCGCCGGCGGTTGCGGCGGACGGCGAGATGGACGAGGGGAAGGCGGAGGAGAGGCGGAAGGAGGCGGAGCGGGAGGAGGGGAAAGAGCGCGAGCGCGAGCGCGGGCTGCTGGGCGTGCGGCGCAACAAGGGCGCAGGCGCGCGGTCGTGGCTGCGGATCGACCAATCAGGACAGACGCAGGTGGGTAGTTTTATGGAAGGCGCCTATGAAGAACGCCGGCTGTGGCTGGGGTGAGGCCGTGGGTGGGGTGAGGCCGTGGCTGGGGTGAGGCCGTGGGTGGGCGAGAGACGTTGAGGCCGCACTGATGCAAGTGCCGCGCATCTCCCATGCCTCCCGTCCCCATTATGCCGCCCACTTCTTCCTCCCCCACACCCCTCCCCCTCTCTCCCACCCCCTCAGGTGATAGAGGCGGACAAGTACGCCATCATGCGCCGCTGCTCCATCCCAGCGCGCGACCTCCGCATTCTCGACCCGCTGCTCTCCTACCCATCCACGCTGCTGGGGCGAGAACGAGCGATTGTGGTGAATCTGGAGCACATCAAGGTAATCCTTCTTGGCAGCACTTGCGCGTGTAACCCCCGCATTCTCGACCTGCTCTCTCTCCTACCCCTCCACGCTGCTGGGCCGTGAGCGAGCCATGGTGGTGAGTCTGGAGCACATCAAGGTAATCCTCGTTGGCACCTTGGCACCGCTCACTCACTTGTTCCGCCACCCCCGCATTCTCGACCCGCTGCTCTCCTATCCCTCCACGCTGTTGGGCCGAGAGCAATCCATTGTGGTCAACCTAGCTCAAATTAACGTAATCCTTCTTGGGTGGGTGGGTGGGTGGGTGGGGGTCCTTCTGAAATTGCTCTTCCAATCGCTCCAGTGCCGTGCCCTCTGCAGCTTCCAATCCACATATGCAGTGGAAAAAGCTGCTGCTTAACTGTTTTTTGAGAATTCTAAAAGAACAGACTCAGTTTCCAATCCACCTATGCATGCAGTGGAAGGAGCTGCTGCTCAACTGGCAGTCCTCCCCGCCCCAACCCCCCACATCCGCCCTTCCCCTTCCCCATCATCCCTCTCTCAGTGTATAACAATGGCGAAGGGGGTGCTGCTGCTCAACTGGCTTTCCTTGCCTCCTTGCATCCACTCCCCCCCACTCCCTGCCCATTCCCCTCTCAACCCCCCCCCCCCCCCCCCCCCCCCCCCCCCCCAGTGCATAATAATGGCGGAGGAGGTGCTTCTGCTCAACTGGCTGTCCTCCCCGCCCCAACCCCCCACATCCGCCCTTCCCCTTCCCCATCATCCCTCTCTCAGTGCATAATAATGGCGGAGGAGGTGCTGCGGCTCATCTGCCTTGCCTTGTCTCCTTGCATCCATCCACTCCCGCCTCCTCCCTGCCCATTCCCCTCTCCCCCCCCCTTCCCCCCCTCGCCCAGTGCATAATAATGGCGGAGGAGGTGCTGCTGCTCAACTGGCGGAACTTCCAGGTGGCGCGGGTGGTGGAGGAGCTAAAGGCACGCCTGCCGCTGCACCTCAATGCCGCAGGCCAGCAGGTGGGTGGGTGGTGAGGACAGCCGGTACCACAAGGTGCGTGCGTGCGTGTTTCCATCAGTCCCATTGCAGAGTGCACATCTTGATGCACACATCAGGTGGCGCGGGTGCCGGAATGGAATGGAGGAGCTCAAGGCGTGCAACAATGTGCGTGCATGTTTCTTCATATTGCTGAACGGTGGCTGGCAGCACCTTCCTTCTACCAGTCCCATTGCTGAGCACATGTGGGTGGCAGCGCAGCACTTGCAGGTGGCGAGGGTGGGCGGGTGGTGGGAGGAGCTCCAGGCACGCCTGTCGATGCATTTGAGTGCTGCAGGCCCCCAGGTAGCGAAGCAAGCAAGTGTGGTGAGGTGAGGGCTGCCGGTACATGTTCCGCTTGCTGCCACACTCCCTCCCATCCCATGCCACGTTCCCACCACCTGCCCCACCCCAGGTTACTTTCCTTCCTTCAAGCCCGGCCATGTGCCTAGTGGTGGCAGTGGGCCATGGCAAGCTACATGACTAGTGGTGCCTAGTGGTTCTTTTCCTCTTTCGCTGTCCTTTTCCTGCTCCGCCACATACCCTCCTCCTTCCCCCCGTTCTTTTCCTGCTCCCCTGTAACCTGTTCTCTCAGGTGCTAGGGCATGAGCTCATCCCCCCTCTCACTCTCTCGCCTCCCTCAACCTCCGTTCCTGCTCCTACAATCGTGACTGCTGCTGCCGCACCCACCTCAGCAATTGCCACCTCAGCAACTGCCAGCTCAGCAGCTGCCAGCTCAGCACCAGTGTCTGCCCGTGCTGCTGCAAGCGTTCCTCTACTCTCCTTTCCTCCCCCTCCACCCTCCTCTACTGCTGCGGCTGCCAACCTTGCTGCTGCTGCCGCACCACCCACACCCACCGTTTCACCACCGTTATCAGCACCACCAGCAGCAGCTTCAGCAGCAGTGGCGGCAGCACCACCGCCAGTGGGAGCAGCAGTGGCAGCCGTGCCGCCACCAGCAGCAGCAGCAGGTGCAACAGCAGAGGGGGTGGGAGCGGCAGCGCTGGAAGCGGGGGGTATGGCGTGGCGGGGGCCCAACGCGCTGCCCTTTGAGTTCCGTGCGCTTGAGGTCTGCCTGGAGTCTGCTTGCGGCACTCTTGATGCCGAGGTGAGGCACAGGAGCACGTGGGGCACAGGAGCATGTGGGGCACAGGAGCACGTGGGGCACAGGAGCATGTGGGGCACAGGAGCACGTGGGGCACAGGAGCACGTGGGGCACAGGAGCATGTGGGGCACAGGAGCATGTGGGGCACAGGAGCACGTGGGGCACAGGAGCACGTGGGGCACAGGAGCATGTGGGGCACAGGAGCATGTGGGGCACAGGAGCACGTGGGGCACAGGAGCACGTGGGGCACAGGAGCATGTGGGGCACAGGAGCACGTGGGGCACAGGAGCACGTGGGGCACAGGAGCACGTGGGGCACAGGAGCATGTGGGGCACAGGAGCACGTGGGGCACAGGAGCACGTGGGGCACAGGAGCATGTGGGGCACAGGAGCATGTGGGGCACAGGAGCATGTGGGGCACAGGAGCACGTGGGGCACAGGAGCATGTGGGGCACAGGAGCACGTGGGGCACAGGAGCACGTGGGGCACAGGAGCATGTGGGGCACAGGAGCATGTGAGGCACAGGAGCACGTGGGGCACAGGAGCATGTGGGGCACAGGAGCACGTGGGGCACAGGAGCATGTGGGGCACAGGAGCATGTGGGGCACAGGAGCATGTGAGGCACAGGAGCACGTGGGGCACAGGAGCATGTGGGGCACAGGAGCATGTGAGGCACAGGAGCACGTGGGGCACAGGAGCATGTGAGGCACAGGAGCACGTGGGGCACAGGAGCATGTGAGGCACTGGGTGGTGCTGGGGCATGTGGAGCATGTGGGGCACTGGATTCTGAGGTGAGGGCAGTGGGTGCTGCTGGGTGGGGAGGAGGGGAATGGCCTCACTTGGAGGGCCCCAATGCGCTGCCCTTTGAGTTCCGCGTGTTGGAGGTGTGCTCGGAGTCTGCCTGTGGGGCCCTTGACGCTGAGGTGAGGGCTGCTGAGGGTCTTGTATGGCACTGGGTGCTGAGATGAGCGTCGAGGTTATTCCTTTGAGTTCCGTGCGCTGGAGGTCTGCCTGGAGTCTGCCTGCAGCACTCTTGACGCCGAGGTGAGGGCAGATGTGACAACAGGAAGGAGGTAAATGCGTGCACGTACGGATTAAAGGGGGGCCCCAACGCGCTGCCCTTGGAGCTCCGCACACTGGAGGTGTGTTCCTGGAGAGAAGGCTGCTTGCGGCACTCTGGACGCCGAGGTGGGTGCTGTTGATGGAAGTGCAGAGGGAGATGTGAGGCAGTGGGTGTTGGGTGGGGGCTGGAATAGTGCTTCAAAGGAGCTGTGCCTCGAGGCTTCTTGCCGCACTCTTGAGGCTGAGGTGAGGACAGAGGTGGTGGTAGGAGGGGGAAGAATGGGTGCAGGCTTCTCAGGATTGGTAGTCCCTTTGACCTTCGGGACCAATTGTCCGCGTTGGCAAGGGTGATCCGACTTGGCAGTTGCTTGAAGTTCGGGTAGATTACACCTGGAGTTTGTCTAGACCTAGGGGAATTCGGGGAAGTTAGAGGATAACGGGAAATGGGTAGAAAAGGGGTTAGAGTAGTCTTTCATTCTGTAATCCTACGGCGCTGACGAAGGCCTCACGGCCGAAACGTGTACGACTACGTTAATCACTGAAGTTGGACTTACCAAGTCCTGATTCTACTTTTTTTTCCCACTCTAAGTACTCCTAGTTGTTAGTCAAGAATTTCGAGGGGACCCTACGCTTGCTGCGGCTCAAATCCATATTTTTTTGGCGGGGCCACCCTTTGAGTTCCGCGCATTGGAGGTCTGCTTGCGGCACTCGTGATGCTGAGGTGAGGTGAGGCTCCGGGACACACGGGGCAGTGGGTGGTGTGCTGGGGGACCTTTTGAGATGTCTCGAAAGGGACACACGGGGCAGTGGGTGGTGTGCTGGGGGACCTTTTGAGATGTCTCGAAAGGGACACACGGGGCAGTGGGTGGTGTGCTGGGGGACCTTTTGAGATGTCTCGAAAGGGACACACGGGGCAGTGGGTGGTGTGCTGGGGGACCTTTTGAGATGTCTCGAAAGGGACACACGGGGCAGTGGGTGGTGTGCTGGGGGACCTTTTGAGACGTCTCGAAAGGGACACACGGGGCAGTGGGTGGTGTGCTGGGGGACCTTTTGAGATGTCTCGAAAGGGACACACGGGGCAGTGGGTGGTGTGCTGGGGGACCTTTTGAGATGTCTCGAAAGGGACACACGGGGCAGTGGGTGGTGTGCTGGGGGACCTTTTGAGACGTCTCGAAAGGGACACACGGGGCAGTGGGTGGTGTGCTGGGGGACCTTTTGAGACGTCTCGAAAGGGACACACGGGGCAGTGGGTGGTGTGCTGGGGGACCTTTTGAGATGTCTCGAAAGGGACACACGGGGCAGTGGGTGGTGTGCTGGGGTACCTTTTGAGATGTCTCGAAAGGGACACACGGGGCAGTGGGTGGTGTGCTGGGGGACCTTTTGAGATGTCTCGAAAGGGACACACGGGGCAGTGGGTGGTGTGCTGGGGGACCTTTTGAGATGTCTCGAAAGGGACACACGGGGCAGTGGGTGGTGTGCTGGGGGACCTTTTGAGATGTCTCGAAAGGGACACACGGGGCAGTGGGTGGTGTGCTGGGGGACCTTTTGAGATGTCTCGAAAGGGACACACAGGGCAGTGGGTGGTGTGCTGGGGGACCTTTTGAGATGTCTCGAAAGGGACACACGGGGCAGTGGGTGGTGTGCTGGGGGACCTTTTGAGATGTCTCGAAAGGGACACACGGGGCAGTGGGTGGTGTGCTGGGGGACCTTTTGAGACGTCTCGAAAGGGACACACGGGGCAGTGGGTGGTGTGCTGGGGGACCTTTTGAGATGTCTCGAAAGGGACACACGGGGCAGTGGGTGGTGTGCTGGGGGACCTATTGAGATGTCTCGAAAGGGACACACGGGGCAGTGGGTGGTGTGCTGGGGGACCTTTTGAGATGTCTCGAAAGGGACACACGGGGCAGTGGGTGGTGTGCTGGGGGACCTTTTGAGATGTCTCGAAAGGGACACACGGGGCAGTGGGTGGTGTGCTGGGGGACCTTTTGAGATGTCTCGAAAGGGACACACGGGGCAGTGGGTGGTGTGCTGGGGGACCTTTTGAGATGTCTCGAACGAAAGGGACACACGGGGCAGTGGGTGGTGTGCTGGGGGACCTTTTGAGACGTCTCGAAAGGGACACACGGGGCAGTGGGTGGTGTGCTGGGGGACCTTTTGAGATGTCTCGAAAGGGACACACGGGGCAGTGGGTGGTGTGCTGGGGGACCTTTTGAGATGTCTCGAAAGGGACACACGGGGCAGTGGGTGGTGTGCTGGGGGACCTTTTGAGACGTCTCGAAAGGGACACACGGGGCAGTGGGTGGTGTGCTGGGGGACCTTTTGAGATGTCTCGAAAGGGACACACGGGGCAGTGGGTGGTGTGCTGGGGGACCTTTTGAGATGTCTCGAAAGGGACACACGGGGCAGTGGGTGGTGTGCTGGGGGACCTTTTGAGATGTCTCGAAAGGGACACACGGGGCAGTGGGTGGTGTGCTGGGGGACCTTTTGAGATGTCTCGAAAGGGACACACGGGGCAGTGGGTGGTGTGCTGGGGGACCTTTTGAGATGTCTCGAAAGGGACACACGGGGCAGTGGGTGGTGTGCTGGGGGACCTTTTGAGATGTCTCGAAAGGGACACACGGGGCAGTGGGTGGTGTGCTGGGGGACCTTTTGAGATGTCTCGAAAGGGACACACGGGGCAGTGGGTGGTGTGCTGGGGGACCTTTTGAGACGTCTCGAAAGGGACACACGGGGCAGTGGGTGGTGTGCTGGGGGACCTTTTGAGATGTCTCGAAAGGGACACACGGGGCAGTGGGTGGTGTGCTGGGGGACCTTTTGAGATGTCTCGAAAGGGACACACGGGGCAGTGGGTGGTGTGCTGGGGGACCTTTTGAGACGTCTCGAAAGGGACACACGGGGCAGTGGGTGGTGTGCTGGGGGACCTTTTGAGATGTCTCGAAAGGGACACACGGGGCAGTGGGTGGTGTGCTGGGGGACCTTTTGAGACGTCTCGAAAGGGACACACGGGGCAGTGGGTGGTGTGCTGGGGGACCTTTTGAGATGTCTCGGAAGGGACACACGGGGCAGTGGGTGGTGTGCTGGGGGACCTTTTGAGATGTCTCGAAAGGGACACACGGGGCAGTGGGTGGTGTGCTGGGGGACCTTTTGAGATGTCTCGAAAGGGACACACGGGGCAGTGGGTGGTGTGCTGGGGGACCTTTTGAGACGTCTCGAAAGGGACACACGGGGCAGTGGGTGGTGTGCTGGGGGACCTTTTGAGACGTCTCGAAAGGGACACACGAGGCAGTGGGTGGTGTGCTGGGGGACCTTTTGAGATGTCTCGAAAGGGACACACGGGGCAGTGGGTGGTGTGCTGGGGTACCTTTTGAGATGTCTCGAAAGGGACACACGGGGCAGTGGGTGGTGTGCTGGGGGACCTTTTGAGATGTCTCGAAAGGGACACACGGGGCAGTGGGTGGTGTGCTGGGGGACCTTTTGAGATGTCTCGAAAGGGACACACGGGGCAGTGGGTGGTGTGCTGGGGGACCTTTTGAGATGTCTCGAAAGGGACACACGGGGCAGTGGGTGGTGTGCTGGGGGACCTTTTGAGATGTCTCGAAAGGGACACACGGGGCAGTGGGTGGTGTGCTGTGGGAGCCACGGAGATGCCGAGGTGGATTGTTGCTGAGGAGGGTGGGAAGGTCGCACTGGTTGTGTGCACGAACGCGCTGCTCTTAAAGTACCGCGCGCTGTGAGAAGAGGTGAGTGGTGCAGCTGTGAGAAGAGGTGAGTGGTGCAGCTGTGAGAAGAGGTGAGTGGTGCAGCTGTGAGAAGAGGTGAGTGGTGCAGCTGTGAGAAGAGGTGAGTGGTGCAGCTGTGAGAAGAGGTGAGTGGTGCAGCTGTGAGAAGAGGTGAGTGGTGCAGCTGTGAGAAGAGGTGAGTGGTGCAGCTGTGAGAAGAGGTGAGTGGTGCAGCTGTGAGAAGAGGTGAGTGGTGCAGCTGTGAGAAGAGGTGAGTGGTGCAGCTGTGAGAAGAGGTGAGTGGTGCAGCTGTGAGAAGAGGTGAGTGGTGCAGCTGTGAGAAGAGGTGAGTGGTGCAGCTGTGAGAAGAGGTGAGTGGTGCAGCTGTGAGAAGAGGTGAGTGGTGCAGCTGTGAGAAGAGGTGAGTGGTGCAGCTGTGAGGTGAGCTGAAGGTTGTGAATAGACGCCTCGGGAACGTGCTTTCCAGGCAAAAACGTATTCCTTCACACCTCTCCTCACTCACTCCCCCCCAAACCCTCTCTGTTTCTCCTCTCACCAGCAACTGTTTGCAGAGCTGGTGAAGGCGGTGAGGCAGGCAGGCAGCAAGGCATTCCCAGCGTGGGCTTGCCATCCCACTCACTTCCTTCTCCCCCCCGAGAAGAGCGCCGATGGGCATGTGTGGCAGTGGGTGCCGAGGGGGTGTGAGCACCTGCTCACCCCGTCTTTCCTTACGCCTCTCCCCACTCACCCCATTGCCCCTCCAAACCACCCGAGTGAAGCAGCAGGAAGGAGGCCTGGCACTGGACGAGCTGATGGCGTCCATGTCAACTCTCAATTTCAAGTGGCTGCATCCTCCCAACCCCCCCATCACCCCTCTTCCTCTTCCAACTCCCACATCACCCCTCTCCTCCCACTGCTCTCCTCCTTTGCGACCTTGGCCCCCAGACCACCCGCGTGGGGCAGGAGGCATACCCAGCTTTGGACGAGCTCACAGCGTCCGTGTCGACACTCGATTTGGAGAGGGTGCTTCTTCACTCACCCACCATTCACTCACCCACCATTCACTCACCCACCATTCACTCACCCACCATTCACTCACCCACCATTCACTCACCCACCATTCATACACCCTTTTCAGCTCTTTCTCCACTTCCTTCCTCCTCCCCCCCCTCCCCCTCACTCAGACCATCCGAGTGGAGCAGGAGGCATACCCAGCGTTGGACGAGCTCATGGCATCTGTGTCAACACTCAACCTGGAGAGGGTGCGGCGGATCAAGAGAGCTGCCCTATCTCTGCTCTGCTCCCCACGCCCCTCTCCTCCCACTGCTCCCCCCCTTCCCCGCCTTGGCCTCCAGACCACCCGAGTGGAGCAGGAGGCGTATCCAGCACTGGACGAGCTGACGGCGTCCGTGTCGACGCTCAACCTGGAGAGGGTGCGGCAGATCAAGAGCCGCCTTGTCGTCATCTCCGGCCGCGTGCAGAAGGTGAGGGCTGTGAGGGCTGTGAGGGCTGTGAGGGCTGTGAGGGCTGTGAGGGCTGTGAGGGCTGTGAGGGCTGTGAGGGCTGTGAGGGCTGTGAGGGCTGTGAAGGTGCACTAGGTGGGTGCTTGCAGGCTGCTGCTAAGGTGGGTAGCACAAGGTTGGTTGGTGGAAAGGGCGTTATTGCGTCTGTGCTGTACCACGGTATGCTGCAGTCTTGCAGGTTGCTGGTACCGTGTGTCACTGCAAAGGGTGCCGCGTGGAGAGGATACGCCAGGTCAAGAGCCGCCTCGTCGTCATCTCCAGTCGCGTGCAGAAGGTGAGGCTGGGAGGGCTGTGAGGGCTGTGAGGGCTGTGAGGGCAGGGATTTTTTTTTAGTCAACTCAAAAGTTACTTGGAGGAACGTGATAAAGGGTTTGAGAGTGGTAGAGATATTAAAACACCCTTTATTATGAGGACATGGTCGAGATATACTCCACAGAGCAGCTGCTGCCTCGCTATCTGTGCCCCCACTTTGTCCCCTATATTGACAGGTTCGAGATGAGCTAGAGCACCTTCTGAATGATGACAAGGATGTGGACGAAATGTACCTCACAGACAAGCTGCTGCACCGTCTCCCCTGCTTTATGTTTCCCTCTCTTCATCCTATTCCCGTCAATGACAGGTTCGATTGGAGTTACAAAAGTTGTTGGACTACGACAAGGATATGGAGGAGATTCACCTCACAGACAAGCTGCGACTTTGTGCTCCCTGCTTCATCACATCCTCTTTATTGACAGGTTTGAGATGCGCTGGACGATGACGAGGACATGGACGAGATGTATCTCACAGACAAGCTGCTGCACTGCACCGTGTGCCCCTGCTTTACTCTGTCCCCTCTATTAACAGGATCGAGATGAACTAGAGCAGCTTCTGGACGATGATGAGGATATGGACGAGATGTAACTCACAGACAAGCTGCTGGATTGTGTGCCCTGTTTCACTCGTGGCCCCGGCTTTACTGTGTCCTCTTTATTGGCAGGTGCGAGATGAGCTAGAACAGCTACTAGACGATGACGAGGACATGGACGAGATGTATCTCACAGACAAGCTGCTGCAGCAGCGGCAGGCGGCAGCAGAGCAGCAGCAGGAGGAGGAGGAGATGCGCGAGGAGGAGGAAAGACAGCGCCTGCTGCACCTTCACCAGCAGCACGTGCACGGGCGGGCAGAGGAGAATTTCAGTTTTGGCGTGCCATCCCACTCTGGCTCCTCTGGCCGTGGAGGGAGAAGGGGACGAGGAAGAGGCGGAGGAGGAGGGGATGGGGTTTTGGAAAAGGAAGAGGAATGTGCGAGCTCTGGTAGTGCTTCTCCTCCTGACCTCGATAACATGCCCTCAGATGGAGATGGCTCGCAAGGCGCAGGTTCGGAGGGTGCGGGTTTGGAAGGTGCAGGTTCGGATGGTGCAGGCTCGGAAGGTGCAGGTTCGGAGGGTGCGGGTTCGGAGGGTGCAGGTTCGGAAGGCGTAGGTTCAGCTGCACAAGAGCCGCTGCTGCTAGCGATCGGTCGGCATGGCCAAGCAAGCACAGGATCGCAGCGCCGCCCCTCATCTTCCTCCCAGCAGTCAAATCCGACCGTCCATTCGCCCCGCACCCACCTCGCCCCCACGGCAGCCTCCTCCAGCTTTCCCCGCCTCCCCCACCTCTCCGCCTCTGCTGTCAGCGGCCGCTCACACCCTCACTCCCACTCGCACTCACACTCTCACTCACACTCTCGTGCACACTCTCACTCACGCTCACATGGACACCACCCCGACCACCACCAGCACTCAGCCCATTCCCTTCCGAGTGTTGCAGAGCATGGGACAGGTGTAGATGGGACAGGGGGGATTGGGTCGGAAGAGGGGAGTGACGGTAGAGGGAGTGGCAGTAAAGGGAGCAGAGGCAGCAGAGGCAGCCACAGCCACAGTCGTAGTCACAGCCGTGGGAGTGGGAAGAGTGGCAGCAACAGGAGTGGCAGCAGCAGCAGCAGCAGCAGTAGCAGTAGCAGCAGCAGCAGCAGCAGTAGTAGGGAGCAAGAAGTGGGATGTGGAGGAGTTGGAGATGCTTCTAGAGGCGTACTTTGTGCAGATTGAAGGCACGCTGAACAAATTATCATCGGTATGTGTTGTTAACGCGTCGCGCATAGTCTCATCACAAGCCATTGACCTAGCATGTGTGTGTGAGTCGAGTGAAGTGGGATGTTGAGGAGTTGGCGATGCTGCTGGAGACGTACTTGGTGCAGAACGAAGGCATGCTCAACAAGCTGTCATTGGTATGTGATTTCTTGTGGTAGACCTATCATGTGTCAGCTGAGTTGAGTGGGATGTGGAGTGGAGGAGCTGGAGTTGATTTTGCAGGCGTACCTTTTGCAAAAAGAAGGCAAGCTCAACAAGCTATCATCGGTCGGTATGTGTGAATGGCTTATTGATTCCATGTTGTTGGAATTGGGTCGAGATGAATAACATGTATGAGTTGAGTGGAGTGGGATATGGAGGAGCTGGAGATGCTGCTGGAGGCGTTTTGTGCGGATTGAAGGCACACTCTGTACATCATCATCAATCTGCGTGGATTGGATAGCGTGTCACTCACATGCCATTGACCTGTCATCATGGCATGGTGAATGCGCTATTGTTATGGCCAAAAATCTATCATCTGCAGGTGAATGTGGTGTCAGCAACAACTCATGGCGGATGATGCGTAGGACTAAAAGTGAACCTTTACCCTTTCCCCACTGCACTATCGCCCCCAGCTGTGGGAGTACGTGGAGGACACGGAGGACTACATAAACATCATGCCTCTCCATACCCCTCTATTCGTCTCTATGCCCCTTTACTCCTATCCACTCCTCTCCACCGCTCTGCACAGCTGCGGGAGTATGTGGAGGACACGGAGGACTACATAAACATAATGCTGGACGAGAAGCAGAACAGCCTGCTGCAGATGAACGTGCTGCTCACCACCGCCACACTCTTCATCTCCTTCTTCATCGTCATCACTGGGGTGTTCGGGATGAACATCGAGTGCTCGTATTTCGACCCGGAGGTTCCGTCCAATTACAACGTGTTTTATTACGTGGTTATTGGGAGCACTGTAGCGTGTATCGCGTCGTTTATTCTGTCAGTCGTGTACATGCGCAGTAGAGGGCTCATTGTGCCGTCCGCGTGAGATGATGCGGTTGGACACCTTGGGGGGAACCTCCATAGTTGGTGTTTAGGGTTGGATGGTGATCACGGGTGATCACCGTCAACTGGTGATCAGTGAAGCAATTCTGGGCTGTATGGCAGTCGACAAAAAAGTGAATTTGAGTGAAATCTGTATTTCTGGTCTTTCAAGCTGCCTCCAAATCAGTCCCCACTTCCCATTCGTTCAAGCCTTGATGAATGAATATTGGATGTGAGTACAGCTAGGCTAGGCCTCGGAAACATGTTTGGATAGGATTCATAGTGTTTCAAATCCGACTATAAATGCTGTAACGGATGTTGAATGTGTTCATGGGAAGTACGATTTTAAAAGAGGAACGGCGAGAAGTTCTTCCTTGGTAACTTTGTTTTTCCACTTCGCCGCAACCTACACTTTATTCGTCGCCAACCAGACCTACACCAACGCCCAACACCAACACCCACAGCAGTTCCGCATCTTCCAATAGCCACAATGGCGGCGCTCCGCTGTCCTCTGCGCTCCCGCGCGATCCCCGCGTGTTTGAAATCTCCTTCGGCGGGGCAATCGTCGCTTCCGCTCACCAACCCCCGCGCGCTGACTACCCGCTCCCTTTCCGCCACTCACTCTCTACGCGGCGCCTTTACCGCGTCCCGCGTTCCTCACGTTCCTCATTTCCCCTTGACAGCTACCAACGCTTCCCGCATTCCGCGCATTTCCCGCATCTCCCCCGTTTCCCCCTCGTACCGCGACTCTGCGCGATCGCCTCCATCCGCATCGATCCTGCGGGGATCGGCTTCCGCTTCCGCTGCCGCCCCCGCTTTGCCGCTGAACCTGGCGCAAGTTTCCGCGCATCTGCCGGGAGATCTGTCGGGATACATGGCACGAGTTCGCGAGTGCAACGCGGGGCTGGTGGGTGGTGGGCGGATGGGGGAGGGGGAAGTGGGGGGAGGAGAGAAGGGGGAAGGGAAGGGGGGATGGTGGGGGGTGGGTGTATGGGGTTATGAGGGCGGGTGGGTGGGTGGGGGGCTGGCTAGCTGGTAGGTAGGTGGGTAGATGGGTTGTTGGGCATGGTGAGTGATGGGCCGGATCGGGACATTTCAAAGCATGTCCTGAGTCGCTTGCATGTCCCGAGTCGCTTGCATGTCCTGAGTCGCTTGCATGTCCTGAGTCGCTTGCATGTCCCGAGTCGCTTGCATGTCCTGAGTCGCTTGCATGTCCTGAGTCGCTTGCATGTCCCGAGTCGCTTGCATGTCCTGAGTCGCTTGCATGTCCTGAGTCGCTTGCATGTCCTGAGTCGCTTGCATGTCCTGAGTCGCTTGCACGTCCCGAGTCGCTTGCATGTCCTGAGTCGCTTGCATGTCCTGAGTCGCTTGCATGTCCTGAGTCGCTTGCATGTCCTGAGTCGCTTGCATGTCCCGAGTCGCTTGCATGTCCTGAGTCGCTTGCATGTCCTGAGTCGCTTGCATGTCCTGAGTCGCTTGCATGTCCTGAGTCGCTTGCATGTCCCGAGTCGCTTGCATGTCCTGAGTCGCTTGCATGTCCTGAGTCGCTTGCATGTCCTGAGTCGCTTGCATGTCCCGAGTCGCTTGCATGTCCTGAGTCGCTTGCATGTCCTGAGTCGCTTGCATGTCCCTGAGTCGCTTGCATGTCCTGAGTCGCTTGCATGTCCTGAGTCGCTTGCATGTCCTGAGTCGCTTGCATGTCCTGAGTCGCTTGCATGTCCCTGAGTCGCTTGCATGTCCTGAGTCGCTTGCATGTCCTGAGTCGCTTGCATGTCCTGAGTCGCTTGCATGTCCTGAGTCGCTTGCATGTCCTGAGTCGCTTGCATGTCCTGAGTCGCTTGCATGTCCTGAGTCGCTTGCATGTCCTGAGTCGCTTGCATGTCCCGAGTCGCTTGCATGTCCTGAGTCGCTTGCATGTCCCGAGTCGCTTGCATGTCCTGAGTCGCTTGCATGTCCCGAGTCGCTTGCATGTCCCGAGTCGCTTGCATGTCCTGAGTCGCTTGCATGTCCTGAGTCGCTTGCATGTCCTGAGTCGCTTGCATGTCCCGAGTCGCTTGCATGTCCTGAGTCGCTTGCATGTCCTGAGTCGCTTGCATGTCCCGAGTCGCTTGCATGTCCTGAGTCGCTTGCATGTCCGAGTCGCTTGGATGTCCCGAGTCGCTTGCATGTCCTGAGTCGCTTGCATGTCCTGAGTCGCTTGCATGTCCTGAGTCGCTTGCATGTCCTGAGTCGCTTGCATGTCCTGAGTCGCTTGCATGTCCTGAGTCGCTTGCATGTCCCGAGTCGCTTGCATGTCCTGAGTCGCTTGCATGTCCTGAGTCGCTTGCATGTCCTGAGTCGCTTGCATGTCCTGAGTCGCTTGCATGTCCTGAGTCGCTTGCATGTCCTGAGTCGCTTGCATGTCCCGAGTCGCTTGCATGTCCTGAGTCGCTTGCATGTCCTGAGTCGCTTGCATGTCCCGAGTCGCTTGCATGTCCTGAGTCGCTTGCATGTCCTGAGTCGCTTGCATGTCCTGAGTCGCTTGCATGTCCTGAGTCGCTTGCATGTCCTGAGTCGCTTGCATGTCCTGAGTCGCTTGCATGTCCTGAGTTGCTTGCATGTCCCGAGTCGCTTGCATGTCCTGAGTCGCTTGCATGTCCCGAGTCGCTTGCATGTCCCGAGTCGCTTGCATGTCCTGAGTCGCTTGCATGTCCTGAGTCGCTTGCATGTCCCGAGTCGCTTGCATGTCCTGAGTCGCTTGCATGTCCTGAGTCGCTTGCATGTCCTGAGTCGCTTGCATGTCCTGAGTCGCTTGCATGTCCTGAGTCGCTTGCATGTCCTGAGTCGCTTGCATGTCCTGAGTCGCTTGCATGTCCTGAGTCGCTTGCATGTCCTGAGTCGCTTGCATGTCCTGAGTCGCTTGCATGTCCTGAGTCGCTTGCATGTCCTGAGTCGCTTGCATGTCCTGAGTTGCTTGCATGTCCCGAGTCGCTTGCATGTCCCGAGTCGCTTGCATGTCCCGAGTCGCTTGCATGTCCTGAGTCGCTTGCATGTCCTGAGTCGCTTGCATGTCCCGAGTCGCTTGCATGTCCCGAGTCGCTTGCATGTCCTGAGTCGCTTGCATGTCCTGAGTCGCTTGCATGTCCTGAGTCGCTTGCATGTCCTGAGTCGCTTGCATGTCCTGAGTCGCTTGCATGTCCTGAGTCGCTTGCATGTCCTGAGTCGCTTGCATGTCCTGAGTCGCTTGCATGTCCTGAGTCGCTTGCATGTCCCGAGTCTCTTGCATGTCCCGAGTCGCTTGCATGTCCTGAGTCGCTTGCATGTCCCGAGTCGCTTGCATGTCCTGAGTCGCTTGCATGTCCTGAGTCGCTTGCATGTCCTGAGTCGCTTGCATGTCCCGAGTCGCTTGCATGTCCTGAGTCGCTTGCATGTCCTGAGTCGCTTGCATGTCCTGAGTCGCTTGCATGTCCTGAGTCGCTTGCATGTCCTGAGTCGCTTGCATGTCCTGAGTCGCTTGCATGTCCTGAGTCGCTTGCATGTCCTGAGTTGCTTGCATGTCCCGAGTCGCTTGCATGTCCTGAGTCGCTTGCATGTCCTGAGTCGCTTGCATGTCCCGAGTCGCTTGCATGTCCCGAGTCGCTTGCATGTCCTGAGTCGCTTGCATGTCCTGAGTCGCTTGCATGTCCTGAGTCGCTTGCATGTCCTGAGTCGCTTGCATGTCCTGAGTCGCTTGCATGTCCTGAGTCGCTTGCATGTCCTGAGTCGCTTGCATGTCCCGAGTCGCTTGCATGTCCCGAGTCGCTTGCATGTCCTGAGTCGCTTGCATGTCCTGAGTCGCTTGCATGTCCTGAGTCGCTTGCATGTCCTGAGTCGCTTGCATGTCCTGAGTCGCTTGCATGTCCTGAGTCGCTTGCATGTCCTGAGTCGCTTGCATGTCCTGAGTTGCTTGCATGTCCTGAGTCGCTTGCATGTCCCGAGTCGCTTGCATGTCCCGAGTCGCTTGCATGTCCTGAGTCGCTTGCATGTCCTGAGTCGCTTGCATGTCCTGAGTCGCTTGCATGTCCTGAGTCGCTTGCATGTCCTGAGTCGCTTGCATGTCCTGAGTCGCTTGCATGTCCTGAGTCGCTTGCATGTCCTGAGTCGCTTGCATGTCCTGAGTCGCTTGCATGTCCTGAGTCGCTTGCATGTCCTGAGTCGCTTGCATGTACTTCACTTCCATCACCTCCACAAACACTCGCCAGGCCCATCTGCGAACCAATCACACCCTCGTCTCAACCCCCAAACCTTCCCTGCTTCCCCCCCCCCCCCCCCCGTACCACTCTGCTCTCCCCACGTACACGTGTCTCATTCGTCTCAGGAGCGCCGGTCCGAGTTCATTCCCTTCCTTGTGAACGGCGAGGTTGTGGGGTACATTCACCACAGGTGAGTACATTCACCACAGGTGAGTACATTCACCACAGGTGAGTACATTCACCACAGGTGAGTACATTCACCACAGGTGAGTACATTCACCACAGGTGAGTACATTCACCACAGGTGAGTACATTCACCACAGGTGAGTACATTCACCACAGGTGAGTACATTCACCACAGGTGAGTACATTCACCACAGGTGAGAACGTTCATAGGAGTTGGGCACTGATGAAGGTCTGATCCGGAAACCTTGTTGATAGGCCGAAGAATCAAAGATGAGTTCCCTTGGAAGCCTTTTTTTTTAGCAGAGACTATAGTATAGTGTGGACGATTTCACAGGCTTTGATCCTACATCTCAAAGGAGTTTCCCGTGAGTTCCTTTTACTGCTAGATCGAACTCCACCTTGCTGCTCTTCCCCATGAGTGAGGACCCATGGGACCGCACGTTCGTGCAACAAGGAGGTCGTGGGGCAAAATCACCACAGGTGAGTACAGAGACCATAAGAACAATATCGCTTGTCAATAACGGTGTCACTGTAACGTAGTTCATGGCTGGCTCGGCTCCATATCTCTGTCCTCCCAGTCACGCCTTTCCCTTGTCCTCCTTCCGCT